TCATCTTCAGTCGGGCCTCGATTTACCTTCGGCTGTGCCCGAGCACCCCCAGAGGGTTATCGGGGGGGAGGGCTGGGAGAGGAGCTCTGGATTAGGGGGTGGGGTGAGAGGACAGGGAGTAACGGGTGTGAGCTGAAAGAGGGGAGATGGAGATGAGATATTGGGAAGAAATGTTTCCCTGTGCGGGGGGTGAGGCAGTGGCCCAGGTTGCCCAGAGAAGCTGTGGATGCCCCATCCCTGGAGGGGTTCAAGGCCAGGCTGGATGAGGCTTTGGGCAACCTGGGCTAGTGGGAGGGGTCCCTGCCCGTGGCAGGGGGTGGAACTGGATGGGCCTTAAGGTCCCTTCCACCCCAAACCCTTCTGTGATTCAGTAGAACTGTTCATCTGATGTGAAATGCCAGTAACACTCACTGTTCTTGCTGTCCGAACGTGGCTTTGAAGGGGTTTAGTGGATGGGATCTGCTGGAGGCAGTGCCTGTTTCCCCAGTAAATACGGTGTTTTGAGGCGAAGTGCGATGACAAACTCATCCGTCCGTTCAGTTGTGCTCAAAGTTCTCAAGAATCCTATGAAAGACAGAAAAAAACTGTTTTCTTTTAATTAGCATGGTACCTACTTTAGAATGTGCAGTGGAAAATCAGAGCGTGCCCCCAAGCAATTACAACAGTAGCGAATTGCAGCTGATTCACAAGTTGCCTTTTTTTTTTTCCACCTAGAGTGCGTAAGGACTAGTCTTGCTCTTTACGGATGCTCTGGATTCAACACTAGACATTATTTGTTTAGTACTAGCAATCATCAGAGGGTCATCATAAGTTCTGTATCATTTTGAATTCACCGCTGTCGGTTTTAATCGGGGGGTTAAACTGCCCCCACGTTTCAAAGGTCACCGCCTGTGTTCCCGAGGTTTGTTTTTAGAGGCAGCTCTTGGCTGGGCTGGCATTGGACAGGGCGCATTTGCTTGGACTGCTGCCAGTTCCAAATTTAAGTTGGGTCTGTCCCGTTAGAAGACCAGAGGGAGACACCACCTCACAGAGTCACTGGCAAGGGAGTTCTTTTCAAAGGTAGGATATTGTGCTTTCTGCAGACTAACGCTGGTAGCTAATGAAGCGTAGAACTGCTGTGCTTCTGGACAAGGGTTTCCTTAGAAAAAAAGGATTTTTTTTCCTTCCTTTTATCCCCCCACCTTTTAAATGACACTTTTTGATTTCTGAAAATAGCCTCCCAGTTGCTGCCATTTGTCATGTAAAGGACAATGTGATTCTAGGTGGCTGGAGCTACAGGAGAAGAGGTGTTGTTTAGGGAAACTACCGCGGTTTTAGTTTCTTTTAGGAGTTGAGCTCAACTTTGCTGCCTTTAGTGCACTCTTGACCTTATTAACTAAGATCCTTGTTCCTTCGGAAATCGTTGCTCTGGCTTTTTGGGATAACATCCAGTTTTTGGTTTAAGGTGAAAGGTTTTGTTTTTGTTTTTTTTTTAAATAGATTTATGGGATTTATTTTGTGGTAAGCCTTTAAAAAAGTTTCCAAGCACTTGTATTTGCTTACATTATCGGTGTTCTTATTTCTGCTTTCTGATGACCTGCACGTTCCAGTCCTGCCTTTCGGGATGGAGAATGAGAACTACAAGACTTTATTTGAACCAATTTTGAGCTGTGGCTTCTCTCCTGGAGATAACCTGATGTCTGTCAAGAAGTAATAATGGCTTTTTTCAGCATTAATAGCCAACATTTTGAAATAACTCCAACCCTGAACAGAATATAACTTCTCCTTCAGGTTGCCGCAATTCTTTCTTTGGCCTTTCCACCTGAAAACTGCGCAGGACAGAAGTGCCACCCTGTTGTAGCAGGAGCCTTGGCACTGGGCCTCCACAGGATGGATTTTGTTGCACATACTGCAGCGTGGCTTGAGCCGATTTCCACGTTCTCTTGTTCCACTGATCTTCACTTTATCAATGATTGTTTCAAGCATGTTCATTATGACAAGCTAAAATAAGGACTCCTGGTTTGTGGTATACGCTAGTCTATGAAATCAAAGAAAAAACCTGTTGCTCTAGGTCTGAAGTGCTACAGAAATCATTCTTTCCAAAATAATTCAGTTCAGCTAGGTTGTCATCTTTCTCAAGCCTGACTGAACTGAGATTTTCTTTGTTCTGGGGCTGTTTGAGTTCCCTCCTTAGAAGAAGGTACTGCAACTGTGTGTCCTAATAAAAAGGGACCTACTTCTCTGGTCCTTCTCTCCCTTGCTCCCCTCCTTCATCTAGTCTTTCTCTTCCCCATCCCGTATTTCCCCTGCCCATACATCAGAGGGGGTTGATTCACACTCCAGCCTGGAAGCTGCAAAAGCGGGTTGCTGCAGCCTTAAGGCAGAGATTGGGTGATTTGCCCAGAACCTGGATAGAATATGGAAAAGAAGGGGAAAAAAAAAAGAGAGAGAGAGAGAAACAATAAAATACTTGGAAAGATTTTTCAAATTAAAAAGGATTAAAGGCAGACCTTCTTTGTTTAGAAAGTAAATGAATAATAATTTCTGTGATTAAGGAATAAGTTAACTGGGCGTAACTGGTTCATGCTGATGAGCAATGGATGCTACTGACCAAAACGCAGTTAGCTTTTAGTTGGGAGGCTTGGGGCTCTTTTCCACCAGCCGCTGTGGCACAGAGTTCAATCCTTGCAAAGTCAATCTTAATTTTTCCCAAAGAATGTGAAAGAACCATGCTGAAATCAGCCTTGGGACTCCTTCCCATCTCCCAGTGTGGTTTAGTTGGAAAAGGTGTCAGGAAAGCGTACTCTTCCCAGTTACCTTTTCCTCTGCTTTACCCCGTTATCTGCATTTTCCTGCAGATTTTCCAAACGCCTCAGCGTCAACCGGGGCTCCTAAAAGAAGCGCCACTCCACCTGTCAGCTCCCACGTTGGAAATAACGAAAGGTCGTGAATGGGAGCTGAAGATTTTTTATTCCAGGCTGCTCAGTGTCAGCACAGCACCTGTTGTCCCTGCCCACATCTTCTATTCTGAATCTCAAGAGACCTTTGAGATAAAAAACAAACAAAAAAAAAGGTGGGGACAACATAAAGAGGGCAGCTGCCATAAGTGACCAGCTGAACGTGAAGCAGTAAGAACCTCCTGCCTTTCCAGCCTACAGAAGGCCAGCAGCCCTGTGTCTAATCAGCTCTTTCCCAGGCACGATTTTCGGGGCGATGTGCACACTGATGTTAAAGCAACTCTACCCGTCCTCTGCTGTAAATCCGTACAAAACACACCCTCGGTGCGCGCTCAGCACAAAGAGGTGGAGGAATAAGATGCTGGGCTGAGCAGCTGGGTGTGGCGGTGCTCGTGCACTGCTTTGCAGCGAAATGAGTTGAATCCTCCTTTTGGCTTTCTGATTTCCCACTTTGGGCATACTGCCTGTGCCCGGAGAGCTTGTGGCCTGGACGTCTGGCCGCGTTATGCGCAGTGTGTCGTACAGTGAAGTGCTTTGGAGACACAGGCGTTAGATCAGGAAGGGGAAGCTCCCTAGCACCTCGAGAAGAGCTGTGTACTAACTTGACGGTTTTATTTTTAGACCTTGTCAAGCTTATTTAAAGCTAGCTCAGCTATTTTTATGTTTTATTTTAGCCATACCTCCAGAAATATTTATCTTACACAGTTCACTACTGGTACAGGAAGCTCGTCTCTTCACTGACAAGCTACTTGAGGAATTCTGTCCAAGCCCCCGATGGAAATCTGGAAGAGCCCAACATTTTCCACATTAGCTCTGGTCCATGGCATGCTGAGCCTCTGTTATCCCTTCACCTCTGTGCAAGCTCTGTCCTGCTTAATGACCCTGAATTCTGACTTAGCATTATTAGTTACCTCTTGTTTTCTGCTTCTCCTGCTGTCCTTTTGTTTGAAGTAGGGTGTGAGCTGCATGCCCAGACCTTCCCGGTATCTCCTGGTACAGGCCCATCTTACAGGTCAAACTGCAAGAGCTCAAACTCCATCTGCACAACAGGGAGGATATCTTAATGTTTGTTTTAGGCTTTATGTGCAACCCAAAAGAAGTATAAATATCAGGAAGGTGTTGTAACTGATTTTACTGTGACATCAAGCAGAAAAGCTTGGGAAAATCAGTGACCCTTTTTACAGCAGAAGTGTCACTCTTTGACCATGTAGTAAGCTGTAACATAAACTACTCCCTTGAAGGCAGTGGCTTAGCGAGGAGAGGAGAGCTATGCATTGGTATCGGAATCCAATTCCAGGACGAGCTAGGTCTTGTAGGTACCTTTAGTTGGGTTTCATTGGCAGGTTTAATATCAGTTTATTAGAACACAGGTTCATGCTGTTAAACTGCACAATTGATGTTGGCATAAAGGTGAAGAGCATGAGTGTGGTTGGAGTTCGGGACTGGACATGTGGTTCGTTTAAATCAGATACCTCGTCTCTGCTAACGGGCGGTGAAAGACACTGGAGATGGAAGCACAGATTTTGGTGCATTAAGCAAATAACAGGCGCAGAGAGAAAACTTACTCTGTGTCTCCAGAGGATAGACTGGCTTAGATCTGTCTGGGGTAATACACAGCAGCTGGTCTCTGGCACGTAGACACTGGGGTACTGGCTGCTCTAGAGAAATCAAAGAGGTTTTATCACACTCAGAAAAATGCAGAGACAGACCCCAGCCCTCAGGAGCCTCCACTCTAAATACACTTTGTGTGGGAGAGTGAATCTAGAGCAAAATGGGAACAGCATCTCTGAACCCGAGTTTGTTACGTGACAGCTGACAAGATCCAACACTAACTGTCCTGCTGGGATGTTCAGATTATCATTGAAATCCTTAAAACTGGGTACTCACGTGAACTTTTGAATGTCTAAAAGAAGGGATGGGGAAATATGTTGAAGATACTTCTGTGTGGGATTTGGTTTACTGGTGGTCTAAGGCAGGGGTAAGAAAAAGGATTTCCTTAGTTTTCAAGTTTCTGCTCATTTTCTTGATGGTGAAATGGTCTGTTTCCTTTCATCTTGTGGCTCTAGGAAGACCGTTCAGAAAGGAAAACTCATGGATTTCACAAGCACAGTCATCATCCCACTGCTTTTTGGCAGCTTGGGGATCTTTGGCCTTTTTTGGCTACTGCAGTGGATGCGCATGCGAACCTACCTCCAGGAAGCCGTGGTTGTGATCACAGGGGCTACCTCTGGCCTGGGAAAAGGTAGGTACCGAGAAAGGGCACCAAAGGCAGGACAAGCCGAGGGCTGTGGAAGGGGCATCTATTGGAATAGACCAGTAATGAACAGCAAGTTCTTCCTGCTCTGAATTAGGAGGCACAGAGCTCGCCCAGCCCTATTAGTTGTAGCTATAGCCAGTGAGAGTTTTGATGGAAGAAAGTCTCAAAATTGGTTAAGGAAAATTTGAACCATCCTGTATAAGCTGCAGCTCATCAAAGCAAGGAGCAAGTTATGCTGTTCTTGTGCTGTCAGGGGTCTTTTCTCTAAATCCTGAAAAAGCCAGAAAGTCAAATTGTTTCTCCAAAACTTCCCAGAGCTGCTGTTCTCCATTCATGTTTGTTGTACTTCCAGTGACCCTGCCATACTTTCCACTCCTTCTCCCTGCCCTCACCCCCAAGTTAAGGTATCTTTTCTCTTTTGGTACAAATCCATCCCTTCTAAATTCAAACTCTTGGCAATGTTAACACCTGTGAGTATTTTTTGCTAGATAAAATCACAGGTGTGGGGTTTTTTTTTTTTTTCCAAATTTATTCTTTGTGTAAGTGGATATGTTCTCCAATGCTGCTTTCTATGATTGCTTTAAAAGCGTCTTGAAGAGAAGACAAGGTGCTCTCTGCTTGCATTAGGATGAGCACATTTACAGAGCAAACGGAGCTTACATTGCTGCTGTCTTTGCACCTGAGCTTGTCCTTAAGGATCAGGGTGTTGAGGGCCTGAAGGGCCAAAGGGGATGAAACACCTCTCTGCCTGGCAGAACCAAAGCACTGGGAGTGGTAAAAGAATTTGTATTTCACATCAAGAAGAGAGAGAACTGTTATCTCAGGAGGGACCTTCCAGCTGTGCCAGGCTGGGAAGATGAAGCACGGGGTGTTGTTTCGTGCACAGATTTCCATGAAGTGTCCCCCTTACCAACCCATTGCCAAGATCTGACACTTCCCCTCACTCCCAGTTAGGACTGTACTAGACCACCTCCAATTACTGTGTGTAATTAAACACCCTTCATTACCACACACTTTTAATGAACCTTTGGAAGTGTTCACTGAAACCAAAACTCCTCAGATCAGGCGCCACTGTGTTAGATGATGGGCACAAGGTGCCGTGGTCCCTCTGAAGGGCACACGGTCAGAAATTCAGAGGCACGGGCAAATTCACCCTGCCTGTGGGGGGGGATGCGTAAACAGCACAATAACTGCATAACCAGCACCGGAACCGGGAACACGCCAGCTGCCTCACTGCTGTCACGGCTCTGTCACAGTCGCAGGAAAATGGCATCTTGTTGCCACTTCACTGCAAATCACCCCAGAGCAGTAAGGCCACCTTAGAGCCTTGCCAGCTCAAAGAAGTTTTAGCCTCTCACCAGGTATGATGGGGATCTGCTGGTTGTCTCTGGCATTCAATGTCTCCTTTTCTTTCTTTCTTGCTTTCTCTAAAGAATGTGCAAAAGCCTTCCATGCGGCTGGCTCCAAGCTGGTGCTCTGTGGCAGAGACAGCGAGAAACTCAAAGAGCTGGTGCAGCAGCTTTCCACCATGACCAATCACCGAAAGAACGTAAGCGGGGGAGAAGGAGACGCTTGTCGTCTCGCGGGGCCAGGATTTCTGCTCGTGTTATTACAGAGGTTACAGAATTGCTTGTGGGTTGTTCTGTTGAGCGAGAGGAAAAATGTGACTCTGTGGTTAGGGACAGATATTGCTACAGGAGTACCTTGAGCTGACATGTCATAGCATGTAAAAACCCCACAAAAAGCTGAAGGACTCCTGGCCTTGTAATGGAGGTGAAGGCGTGTGAGAGTGCAGCGTGGCCAGCTGCCCTTGCACCTGTGTGTCACACACTGGATCTGGAAAAGTGACTTTCCTTCTGCCGGCTTTTATTTTTTGATGTCTTGCTCTGCTGACAGTGGCTAAGAAAGGTATTGCTGGCTTCTGAAAAGACACAAGTTTTTGACTATTTCAGATGCATTATCTTAAACAAGACAACAGCAAACCTTAATGCTCGAGGAAGATCTCGCTTGCTCTTGTTTCCAGAGCTGTGAACTCCCATCTCTCCTTTAAGTCATGAGCATGAACATGCAGCACATCCAGCACAGCCTGACCTGGTCTTTTGCCAACTTTTGTTTATTCACAGACACACAAACCTCACACTGTGGTATTTGACCTCTCGGACACTAAAACTGTCCTAAATGCTGCTGAGGAGATCCTGAAGCACCAGGGCCACGTGGACATACTGATCAACAACGCAGGCGTTAGCTTCAGAGGCACCATTGAGGACACAGGACTGGACGTGGACAAGAAAGTGATGGAAATAAATTATTTTGGTCCTATAGCCCTCACCAAAGGTATCCGTGATCCAGATTACAGGGGGACAGTGGATTTGGCCGATATTTCTGCTGGCCAACAGAGCTGATTTGCAATTGTATCTGGTAGAGCATCAGAGGGGAGGAAAGTTTTATTTTATGGGCAGGCCTAAAGTTGATGCTTGGGCACGACTGCATGGGAAGTACGTGATTAGAGATAACATCTTGTGTAAAACACCTCCGGACTCTAGTCTGGCAGGAACTTCTGCAGAGAGATAGGGTTAGCCTGCCTGCACTGATAAGATCCTAGAGAAGGCAGCATGGGTTCTAGGTGAGGCTGTAGCTTTCCTAGGAGGCTTCTTCGGTTACACACAAAGTTCAGCCTGGAGCGTGTCAGCTGCAGGAACTGGAAAGATGTCCTGGTGGCAGAAAAGAGCAAGTCGTGCTCACACCATGCCTGTGGGAGGTCAGAGCAACTAGAACAGCGGCTGTGCAGCCCCACAGGTGAACGGCCCTGCCAGACTGCAGCTCCAGTGAGAGGCACTGCCCAGTCCCTACACCGAACAAGGGTCGTGTAACTCACTCAGGCATCCCTGAATGCTCTGAAAGCATCGCTTCCTAACAGCAGTAACGGAAGGGCTGTTATTCTGAATGGGTCTTTTCTCTCTCTTGCTAGCACTTCTCCCCTCCATGATCAAGAGGAGACAAGGCCACATTGTGGCCATCAGCAGCGTTCAAGGCAAAATAAGCATTCCTTTCAGATCCGCGTGTAAGTACCTCCGCAGAAGATGGGGAAGACATATTTGGGGCACTGGACTGAATGAATACTTGGCGAGTGCTTCCACATTGAGCTCTCCGTAGAGCTGGCTGCGTGCAGGGAAGGCAGAGCTGTGCATCACTGTTAGCATAGCCACAGATCTCTGACAGCTGTTGAGGAAGGCACTCTCCAGTACAAAATCTCAGCCCTGTCCTAAAGCTGGTAAGGGATGGGGAAGAGAGCTGTCTTGAAAACAGCTTAACATTCCTATCTGAACACTTGAGAGAGTCCCTATAAACTTTATTATTAATTCCATAATTTTACTGCATTTTATCCTTGCTGTTTGCCTGGTTAATCTCCTGTAAGAAAGCAGGAACTTTTTGTTTTAACAAGTTGTGAAGTGCCATAGTACAACCAGTGCCAAAAAAAAAGAAGCCGGAACAGTTATCTTGATCCAGGCAAACTCTTCACACTAAATCAGTTATGCCAAGAAATAATATTGGTGAGATTATTGGAACAAGCCTTATAAAAGATGGGGGAACTAAAAGGAGAGTGGTTGACATACAAGCATCTGTAAATCACTGAAAATAAAAATGGAAAGGTCCAGTGGGGATGGCATGAGAGGAGTAGGGTTTGATGTAGAGTGAGAGAGAGCCTGGAACGTCTGAGCCATCTGGTCTTGCTAATGACGTGGGTACGACTGTACCAAGCAGCGTGTTCTGAAGAGCTTCCAGAGCGTGTGCAGTGCCCAGGTCCTGGCGGGCCCGGCAGCACGGACCTCAGCTCTCGCCTGGGTCCTCAGGCAGGGCACACAGCCTGCGCTCAGCTCTGCGCGGCTGGTGTCAGCCCTGCCGCCGTGTGGAGGTGAGGGCAGTCAGTGACCAAGCACACATGGAAAGGGAGCGAGCAAAAGGAGTTGCTCAGCCATTTAACGGGGGAAAATCCTGCCCTAGGCCAGGCTTCTCTGCTGTCTGCTTGTGCGATCAGGTTTTGGCTCGTGCGCAGCCAAGCTCTGACCCTGCTCCGCCAGTCCCTAACACCCATCATGCGTAGGCCAGCAGGGTGCTCAGCAGCGAGAGTCAGCTCTGCCCTCCTGTATGGGCATCGCGTTCCCCCAGCCCCTCAAATGCTTCCCAAACCAGGCTTCATGTCTCCTCTCCTGAGTGGGAGGCAGCCTGGGTTTGCTCCGTAGCGCTTTGGCATGGCTGTGATATGAAGCTCAGGATCCTAGCCAGTTTCCAACTTGAGTATTTACATTTTGCCTTCCTAAATTGCCTCTCACTCCCACTACCTGTTGCTGCCATTCACTAAAAAAAAAAAACCAACCTAGAAGTTGGAGAACAGCTGCTGGGTTCTTGCTGAGAAGTGGCTGCATGGCAGTGAAAAACCCATTCATGGGAATGGATCTTCCCTTCAGTCCTGCTCCTTCTCCTTACTGCATAGTTCTTTTCCTGATTTTCAGATGCTGCCTCTAAGCATGCTACCCAGGCCTTCTTTGATTGTCTACGAGCAGAAGTGGAGCAGTACGACATCGATGTGACAGTTATAAGCCCCGGATACATTCAGACGAACCTCTCTCTCAACGCTCTAACAGCAGATGGATCTCGCTATGGAGGTGAGACGTGATTTTGTGCCTTGTATCTAAAGCATCCCCACCTCACTGAGTTACTCCAAAGTGCTCTTGCAGCATATGGCCTCTGGTGGGGGACACAGCTTAGCCCTGAAGTATCAAAAGACTTTGGATGCAGGGTAGGAACAGTAATCCCCAAAATTTAGCCTTCCTAGGCAGCAGCTACTGAGTTCTAGCCCGACCATGAATTATACCTGCCTGTGCTCCCACATGTAACTGGTGTAAAACCCAAAATCATCCAAGCAGCCACGTGCAGTCAGAGCAGAGCGTTCCTGGGAGAGGTGCTAACCGCGGGCTTACCTGCTGGCGCTTATTCGGCTTTCCTTTGGCAGTTATGGACAAGAACACCGCGGAAGGACAGACAGCCGCAGAGGTCGCTCAGGTGGTGCTCCACGCGGTGGGACAGAAGAAGAAGGAAGTCCTTGTAGCTGGCCTGACACCCTCCCTGGCTGTCTACCTGCGAAACCTCTTCCCCAGGCTCTTCTTCACCTTAATGGCAACGAGAGCAAGAAAGGAGAGAAAAGCGAAGGACTCTTAGAGCTCATCTCATCCGAGCGGTAACTGTAGGGAGAGGCCAAGCCCCTGCAGTTTGGCTGGGACATCCCTGGAGGTGCTCCTGCAGGAAAATCCTTTCTCAAAATGCTGCAGTTTACCATTGCCTGGAGAGTGGGAAGCGGTTTCCCTCACATCAGGGCAGAGAAACAGCCCCTAAACCTCACCTGGAGAAGGGGCTTGGACAGAGGGGGAGAGCTGAGGCTGCAGGGGAGGGTAACTCGAGGGAACACTGCACAGCGGGCGAGGCCCCTGTGCTGGAAGGCAGCACCTTACCTCGCCTCACTCCAGGCATGCTCAGCTTTACTGGCCTGCTACAAACGAAACCCACCCATTTGGCCTTCACACAAACAGATCTTAGCTTTCCCCACCCCAGCCCCTGTGAAATAGAGTCCTCAGCTGGGAGCTCTCGTGATCAGTGTCTCCTTCCCACTCCTTCCAATTGGATCTAGAACATGTTTGAAGTGGAAAACGTCACAGCCTGTGCTTGTTAACACGCCAAATCATCCGATATATTAATAAAGTCCAGTGCCACTTTTAAAGAAGTAACTGATGTAAAAGATAAGTTTTACTTGGCAGTTATTTTTTCTGTCTGAATTTTACTGATGAACAGGGACATTTAACGCTGTCCTACCTGACAGTACACTGTTAACCCCAGCACAAGGTAATGCCGGGGAAGCACTGAACAGATAAAAAATAGCACAGCAAGGTGTGCTGCTGTGTGTAAATACCGTGGAGCTGATAGCAGCACGTCTGCTCCACCTGTAGCCTAGAGCACAGAGTAGGTGGTAAGATAGGAAACCAGGGAATTACCTTCTCTCTCCCTCTCTCCAAGGGGAGTTTCTGTCAGCATTAGTTGTGCTTTTCCTTTCCCTTTGGTGTTCTGTATGTCCTGTTTCTTGGCAAAATGCAGTCATCCTGCCAGTCTCATCCAGCTGCTCCATCTCCTGGTGTTTCAGGTCACGGGTACTCAAGGGGCCGCATTGCATTTCTGTTATTATCCAGAGTGGATATCCTGAGAGGTGGAACACATCAGGCCTGAGGAAGAAAATGATGTGTGGGGAGTTACTATAGCACTGTTTTGAACTCCAGCTCCACCTCAGAGGTTACTGAGACTGTGCACGTTCCCCTTTGAATGTAGCACAGCCCGGTTCTGAGCACCCCTGTAATGGTCGGGATGGGCAGCAGTGTGTGGGCCTGTTGAAGGGAAACCCATGGTAACCCACAGCTGCCGGCACGGGGAGAAGGCAGCCGCCATCTCCTGCCATGCACTGAAACACACGACCCTCGAGACCCCTCTCATCCTCCCAGGTCACCTTGCACAGTCACAGCACTGGCTTACTAACAGCCAGGATGTCACCAAGCGTTTTAGCTCCATCATCGCTAATATTTGTTGGAAGACAAGCTCCCCTACCCCCATCTGTGTCCTCTCCCCCTCAGAATGGGGTGAAAGTTTTTAAAACAGACCTACCTGTTGTGACAGCTAAGCTGACTTTTCACCTTCCTCCTGCAATGAGACCACAGGAAACTTTCTCATTTTTAACTCCAGAGTCAGTGCTGCATGCAGTGGGTTTAGGGAGCCTACCGAGGGTCAGTCCTTCTGCCATAGCCATCGTTCCAGGCAAGGGAAAGCTTAACACAAAAAAGCATCAGGACCACAGAGGTTTGTTGAAGAAAAGAAACTAACAGCCTTTATGATTATTATGCATTGATTAAAAAAGAGCAGGAGTGTCGCGTGTGTGGCTAGCAGAAGGATATTTCAGGGCCTTGTGCAGCAATCAAGTGCATATTAGCTGCGGCAGATCTGCCACGAGTTTAAAATTAATCCAGTAGATGGGACTTTAGAAACAAACGTCAGGACTCAAAAGGCAGCTGGGCCAGCAGTCCTAGCCTAACCGCAGGAGGATGAAGTAGTCGCATTTCTTCCCCTCCTCTCTGCCAAGGCAACTGTACATTGTTGCTATAAATAGAGATGCTCTGGATCGCAGCGTCTTTAACCTTGGAGGGAGACAGCTCAGCCACTGTACCAGCAAAGAGCCACAGGGCTGGTGCCACCCAGTAAAGCCCCGATGCCACAGGGGTTTCCTCCAGGCCCTGTGCCAGCTCAGGTGTGGCTGTCTGTGCAGGTGATAAAAGCACTCGCTCAGAACTCCCAGCAAACCCCATTTGCCCAGCGCACACACGATTGGGAAGCGCGCCCTGCTAACAAAAAAGCTGCATCAGCAGAAAAACACGAGCTGGAACCATGGCCAGAAAAGCCTGCAGCAGCCCAGAGGTGAGGGGGAGTTCTTGCTGCCTGCTGCTGCAGTTTGGAAAGATAAAGACAGAACCACTGAATTTGGTTTCCGAGCTCCTGAGACTCCTGTCCAAGGTCAGTGCTTCAGCTGCAGAGGTCAGGCTGCAGGTCCCACTGAAGCAAGCAGCACACCTGTGTGGGGCAGGTTTTACTGCAGCGCTTTGCTCTTGTATCCCGATCATAGCGCTTGAAGCTGTGCCAAGCTGGCCTGGGAAGTGCAAACCACGCCTAGCTTCCATCTGGTAGGAGGAGATTATAGACAACAAGCCCCTATCTGTTAAAAGTAACTGGCAGTTCTTGCAAAAAAAACGAAAACAGTAAATACCTCCCATTCTAAGAACAAGATTTTGACAGGTTTGAGTTAAAAGATGAATTCATGCACAAGACTGAATTCTAAAATTCCAGATAACATGGATACAATCACGTGGATGCCTTGCAGCAGCAGCAGGCAGCTCCAGAAATGCGTGTTCCAAGCAATGGAATTGCGTAGTCGGGGCCCAGCCGTCTGAGTGTCAGCAGCAGCGACAAAGCACAAAGGCAGCACAGGTGGACTCATACCTCAGAAGTCCTCTTGGCTGCACTTCTCCATCGTTCAGAGAAGTAACAGCTGGAGGTGGCAGGACAGCAGAGGATTTAAACACCTTTAGCCCCAACCATCAGCATTTAAGTGATTACCAAAAAGATATCAACACCGGGGTCACAAGTAAGCCTCTTCCAAGAAACACAACTAGTCAAGCAAGAGGGAAAGCAACACTCTGCAGCTATTCCTTCATCACCTGGCTGCTGTGAAGTAACACTGATGCTGCTGCCATGTGCCATGGACAAGAATATCAGGTCTGTGTGTGAGCAAGTGTAAATAATTATCACCACTGGAGCTCTCCTAGCGAAGCCTCCATCCCCTGGAAGCGCATTATAAAAGGGAACTATGATAACAGTAACAAGAGAGCAGAAGCATTTGAAATTCTCATCCTTTAATGGTCAATGATAATTCTGGCTGGTTCTGTGTAATACAATTAAACAATATACTTAAATGTTTCCCAAAAAAAAAAAAAGAAGCTCTCACACCCCCTCTTTCTATAGCTTTCTTTCATCGACATTCTGCTGCTGGATTGGACTCCCATGGCCTAACATACAGCTCTCAAGTCACTGCACATCCACATCTTAAGTGTAACGAAGAACTGAAAAACCTTGGTGCACCAGTAATGTGTTATTTTTAAAAAATAACAGCTCTATTAAACCAAATCCTTCCCAGTCTCCACTGCTTCTCAAAGAGGAAAAACAAAATGTTACTGTGGGAGTCTTAATACACTTTGTGGGTTTCTCTCTTCCCTTCCCTGCTGAAGTCATACAGCATAGAGTTCGTAGATCTTCTTTACACAGTACACCAGGGCGGCGAGTGCTATCGTGTTGTGCAGTCTCTTTCTGTGCAGGTCATCCTTCCTCACCAGCACCACCGGAGTGGAGGAGGTGAGCGTATGCAGGGGCAGGCGGGAAAGTTTATAGGCATCGTACTCTACTTGGTACTTGCAACAAGGATCAAATTGCCAAGAGATACCATAAAGGGTGCAGCAAGCCACACTCAGCACACCGGCAGGCAGGGAGATGTAGTGAGAATAATCTCCTGGAAGTGCCAGAGGGGTGAAGAGACAGGTGGTGCCCGCTAGCACGGCCGTCTTGTGCAGGCAGTTCCCAACGGTGATCCAGCGGGCTGTCTCGTCCCCGATGCGAGTGGGCTCAATCACTATGTATTTGTACTGCGCTTCCAGGGCCTGCTCCAGCTCGTACTCAAACTGGTCCTGAGCATTCTCTCCGTTGTAGATCTCATGCACGATGTAGCAGTCTGTGGAGGACAAGGTGACCCTGTGAACAGGAAACACAGAATTAAAACTACAGGGCTTAAAGACAGCTTCAGCCAGCCAGCTGCGAGAAAAGGAGAGAAAAATGCTCAAAGTAAGGGCAGCTCCTCAAGGTCAGTCACAACAAGCAGCTTTTTCACATCAAGATTCATTTCACATCATTTTGTGATTGCTGCACGTGAAGTAATCCAAAAATAAGGCAATGTACTTCTCCTCACCTTTTCCTAACTTGGAGGAGCTAGAACATTTTGAGAAAATGGGATGTTGTTAACAATCCTGACATGGTTCCTCACACTGAGCCCCACGATGTTTCTCTAGATACTGGAAACACCACACCTTAGCGACCACACCACACCAGTGAACGAACAGTGCAGACTTCAGGAGTTTTCATCAAAAACAAGACTGGCAACTCATCCATCAAAGAGGGCAGGTTGCACTGGAATGTTTTAAGAGAGGAAGTACCTTCAAGTGAAGGCGTCTGCTTTCTCCCCACAATAACCACCTCCTTGCCACTGATGCAGCTTGCTATTTAGTCCTCCACAGTAAATCCAACCTTGTAAATCCACAGTAAATCCAACAAGGATGGCCACGAAACTCTGCTGGAAGGGACGGTGAAAAGGTATCAGAGCACTCTGTTAGAGAACAGTTCATTCCCGGTGCTGAAATAGGGCACAGCAAAGCAAGAAAGGAACATTTTTTTAAGCCAGGCAGGCTTTAACAGTGAAGAGGGAGCTGCTCGCTTTACTTTGGAGCAGGCTCCCTACTGGCAGGGGATTCACAAGCCTTCTACATCCCCCACTGGAGCAGCAGCTTTCAGCTACCTAAAAATCTCATCAATTTCCACTTTCCCTCCACTCTCTTTATGCACATCCCCTTAGCTGCAGCTACATGAACATAACAGCTGCCAAGAAATAGGATTGTGACTCTTTACCTGTGCTGAGAAAGGGTAAAAAACCCTATCCAAGCAAAACCCTCCCTTCGAACCATTTCTGACATACTTGTGCTTAACCAGAACAAAACCGAGCACGTGGCCTCTCAAGGATAAAAATATCTAGCAGATTCCTTTAGCAGAAGGAGAATAAACCGCACACATATTTGACCTCATCTCGGCAGACAAAACAACCTCATCCCGACAGCAGTGAGCCCCTCCTGATATCGGGAGGCAAGACACCGCTGAGATAGAGAATGAAACCAGCACTTTTTGCTCCATTAGTGCAATGGTACTTATGTGCAGGCACTGGAAAATAAGGGAGAGAAAAACACACACTCACAAGCTGCTGCGTTACCAGACATTACCCTTAGCGTGCAGCTCCATTCATGCTGCAAAGGGGAGCGTGCAGTGGCCATCTGTAATCAAGAATATTGTTAAATTACAAGCTGTTGCCAGAAGTAGCTGCTTTTGTGAACAGCAGCAAGCATATCCAATAGCAGGGCCCAAGCTGCACCAGCCTCTCTCACAGCAGAGTAATAAACAGTTTAATTTAAATTCTGGCTGGAAATGTATATAAACGACAAGGAAAACTCAACTTACAACCTAGTTACTGAGATCTCTGCAGTGCATTTCCCCCTCGGCCTGTTCGTGGGTAGTAACAAAAATAAAATTCCACCAGGATGCTGTGTACACCCTTTCTTTACAGCCATCCTCTTGCAAGACATCGTTTGGAAAATTCAGCACTGGATGTGGTGGGCTCTGATGTTCTATAGTGCATCTATAGTGCATCTATAGTGCAAGTATTAGAGAAAAATTTTGAAGGCCAGACCTACATAAAAATTTTACAGAGTACTACATCTCTAAATAACGAAGTGTATCAGCTAACATTGGGGAGTTCCTAACAAAGTGTTAGTTACTCTGATACATTAAGGACACAGCTGGTCATGGTTTCTGCCAAGGATTTTTTTCCTGATGACAACTGCTCCAAGTGCAGCTTCTTCCAAATAAAAAATTCCAGTTTCGTTATAGAAGAGATGCTGAGACTTGAGGTAACTCTGGGCTTCTAACTCTAGGAATTAAGTAACTACACTACATGGGATTTCTCCAGGCTCAGCATCAGGACAGGCTGCACATTCCTGTTCTTCCCTCTGAATGTCCCTTTTTTCCTGTCACCATAAGGTACACACACAGCTCCATACCACAAGCAACAGCCGCCCGTCAAAGAGAGCAGGAATCCAACAGGCTTTGGCCAGAGGCAGTATCATCCATCTCTTCTGGAATCTTTTGGCTTGCCAGACTCCAGGGCTTTATAACAATAAAGAAACGCACAATCCTTCTAAGCCAAAACAAGTAAAACTTAAAATAAGTTCTGTTGAAAAAGTCACTGAAATAAACTGCACAAAGGCTTCATCCCTGATAGGGTCTGGCCCCCTAACTATGCTGTTTCTCCAAATTAGTCCTCTAATGTGGGAATAAATCTCTATCATAGCACTTAAGCTTCAAATAACAAAATGGGTAATCCAAAAACAAAGGACAAAGAATGAAACATCAGCCGCTCAAACAACAGGACACATGAAAAGTCAGCAATGCAAGCAGAAAGCCTCCACTTCTGGAAGAGAGGAAGCAGGGTTTATAGCGTATTATTTCCACACAAGAACTGGCTGCCTCTGGAGGATGGCAAGCTGCAAACTGGTTTGTTTTCAGATGGTATAGAAGGAGACACATGGGCTTGAGAAGGTTTTAGACCTTGTTGGCACGCAGAGTAGGACCAAGGCCCTCAATTCACAGCGACAATCTCTCCTGACGCAGCGTTTCCATTGCACACGGCAGCTGCACACGAACAAATCCAGGCAAAGCAACTGGATTTGCTCGAACACTGGAGCCTGTGGAGTTCGCCTTTTGGAGCTTGTTTCCACCCCCCCGGGGATGACAAACAAAAATGCAGAGCTGTGCAACCACCCCCAAGCTGGCATCCACCCGCTGTGAAGTGTGGTGATTTTATATAAACTCGATTTTAGTTAAAAGAACAGGAAATAACCACTGTCAGAGAGGATCTAGTTCCAGAAGTCATACAATGCTGCCACATATTCAGAAGCCCATCATGTTATTTACTAGACAGACCAAAACCTTGTTAATATTATTCAATCAAAAGATTTTCCAGGACCTGTCTTCCCACCCCAAAAAAGAGGGAGACATTAAAAAGCTGTCCAGCTGTTCTGTAAGAATAGTTCTGGACCTTCCATCCAAACAGTTCACTCTACTGCAGCTTTGTGCATTCTGTACTTGAGAAATTTTACGTGTCTCATTCCTGGTGCCAACTGCATGCACAGATGGGGGAGTGTGACAGTATTCTCAACTGTTTGATATAGCAAGATGATAATTATTTTTAAAAAAATCACTGATGTAAAATTTTGGTATAGCCAAAGTTATAAATAAGGAAGTAGTTAAGAGAGTTAGCTCCAGCAGGAGGGGCAGAAGCGTCTGTCTCAGCTATAGGGCAAGCTTCAAATTACATTTGGATTATCTTCCTAACATGGGAATATCAGAGAGCACCAGGAGAGGGGTGCTGCAGCTGGCTGAACAATAGTTTCCTCAGTTGCAGCCCTCAAAGCAGCTCCATTTCTCTGCCTCCAGCTTGGAAGAAGTCTCCTAGCTGCCTCCTGAAAACCGCAGCCTGTCTCTTAAATCTAAGTTTCAATGGCATAGTCTTTATGGATGAGGAAATAAATCACCTTCTAAGGAAGAGGCACAACACCACTCCGTGGGAATAGTCTTTATGGATGAGGAAATAAATCACTTTCTAAGGAAGAGGCACAACACCACTCCATGGGGAAAGACTTTGTTTCGCCAGGTGCCAACTGGCAAAAAAAGAAACAAATGAACCAAGTGCTGAAAACAAGGCAGATGACAACATCCTGGAAGAAACCCCAGCATCCTTTTACCACTGGCAGGGGAGAATCGCTGAGCCTCACGAGTTTGGTGCTCTCAGCCTAATGTTGTTCCTCAGTCTGACAGACAGACTGTTGGCGAGGGTTTCAAGTGGTCCAGCTATCTCAGTTCTGCAAAATGTTCAGAATCACAATTAGAAACAAACTCAATCTGCACAAAGCACAGGTACAGTTCTGTGCAAAAAAGGTTCTTTTCAAACCCCTCCTATAACACATAGGCCAAGTATGTTTGGGTTTTTTTAGAACTTCCTGGACAACAATATTACTCAGAGCAGCAAAGATACCCTCAGATGAACAGTCAATGAAGACCAGTCTGATGAGCCGTTAAAAATATAAGAAAGGAGAGGCTTGCAGCAGTGTGATAACGCCTGTCACAAGCAGCACACAGACACACAAAATCCAGTTCAGCCATGCAACAGAGGGACCTCATGCTGGCCGTGCAGCGAATGGCAGAGAAAGGACCTTACTGATGGCCCACGCACAGTGCCTGGGGTCATGATTAGCATCTCAGACAAGCTTCAGTAAGTCCATCAAGTCAAGGCATGACAAATTCAAAAACCAAACTTCCCTCCCCCCGCATAAATCTTTCTTGAAACTTAATTTCCAGATTAAGGGATGAGCTGTGGTCTGGCTTTAATTCTCAGTGAAGTACTCCACCACAAAGTCATGTTCAACAGTGTGTTTTCCTACTCAGGAGAGCTCCGGGATACGGCACGCAGAAAGTACTCACACCTCGGAGCTCACACACCTGCAGCATTGTCCACAGGATCTGCCAGTCGGGCCATTAGCCACGGCTGTCAGGCCTGTGCCTTCTTAAAGGCCACTCGCAACACTTTAATGCACGTATCGAAAACGTGGAGGAAGAACAGGAAAAATCACAGCGATAAAGCAAGATTTCTGTTCAAAAGATAAACCTTAAATACAAATAGGAAAGGGAACAGAAGAACACAGGTGATATCTTCAAGCAGCCTCAGCCAGGGAGGACAACACCAAAGAAAACATCACCAGACCATAACAAAAAACTCCAGCCCCCAGAGCAAAGAGAGGTGTCAATTTTAAGCCAACTAATGATTAGCCAGGCTGATGGAAATAGGTCAGTCATTGCTGTAAGCAAACAGAGCACCA